ATTGCTGTTTCTACTTCAAATTGAGATGAGAGACAAGGAATTATGGTATTACATTTTATTCTTGATCTACTGTAATTCAAAATGGGTGATAATTTTGGATCATCTATGGTAAACCACCTCTCTGTGTCATTTACTGTATCTGTAGAAAGGAGGTAGTAAAATACCTAAGCAACTCTCAAAAAATACTCTGAAATAAACCTTTAAAAAGACAGCCTGGTTTTCTATTACTTTCTGTTACAGCTGAGTTGAAGTTACAGTATTTTTCTTCAATGACTGATTTTAATTAAAAGCAAATAATCACTCATTAAGAAAAATATTTTTTTTCTTACTATATCTGTAATTTCTTCACTTACCTATCTAAAATGTTCTTTGCTTTCATAACTGAAGTATTTGTGCATGCTGCCAGCATTTCATGACCAGCAGCTAGACTAGATGACTTCCAGATATCTCTTTCAAGCAACATCACTAACCTGAGAAGATGCATTACCTGTAATATTCCAAGTCCCACAAATACTGATATAACAGAGATAACAACAAAATGCTGTGCTGCAATGCAGAACTGTCAAACAAAGCATTTTAATCAGATAAAGAGTTAAAACTAATTTTTATTTCTTTGCAATGAGCTCCAGCTGAAGTGCTAGCAGGCTGCCCACCTCAGATGTGATTAAATGCTGCAGGTACAGGGCTCATGCAACAGAGAAGTAGCTGCAGCTGAAAACTGATCTGCAAAGGGATCACATCTGACAGCTTCACACATTAAAACACAACAAAAACGGGGAAACAACACTGTCCAAAAAAGGTTGCCAAGGATCGTTCATCTGCAAGTGGGCCATAAGTGCAAGTAACAGATATAACAGTCAGTACAATCTGATAAAAAAACAAATAACTTACCCAGGGCACAAGGGAGATGATTGTCCAAATGTCACAAAAATAAAAACCTGTTCATTCAGGTTTAGCTTCACATCTGCCAGTGTCCTGTCCTACAGCACTGCAATCTATTGTTTAATTCTAGGTTAAAATGAAGTAATCTAAATATGCAGGCTGTTATATAAAAGGGCCAGGGGATGAAATTACACCAGTTTCTAATAAGGCCCTTTGAAACCCTAAACTAGCAAGTTAGCAGCCAAATTGTTCTTCTTCTACTAATACAGACTGAACAGACAGTGACGACGAAAAGAGGCAAAATAAAGAGTGTAAACCTGCAGTTCTCAAAATCCTAAGTGTGTCTGCTATACCGAAGCACAGCAGAGGACTATTCAGGTGCCAAAAAATTATAGTTTTATTTATCATTTCCAAGATCAATCTTGAAAACTTTTGTCTCCTTATCGCTAGACTCTTCATGAATACAAGATCTGTAAAATTTCCTTCTCTTATATTTCAAAACAAATAGAACTTATAACATCTGTCCATGTAAGACCAATTGATGTGGTTTTAGGTATTCATTCACTTGGTAAGTAGCAGCCTACACCTAGTGACAAACCTCACACCAGAAAATGAAAAGGACCATTTGGTTATTTTCTTCTATCTGTGCAATACCTGTCTTACTATTTTCCTCTTTTTCACTCAGAATACTATTAATGGACCCTTCCCGTAAATTAAAAGAAAATCCCATGCATGGATGAACAAATACATTCTGCATCTGAATTGGAAAGGAAAAGAGAGTTGTGAGCTTTTTTGGACACACACCCACCCTAGAAAGTACAGTAGCATGCTAGGCCTCATGCCAGACTGCTCCATGCCAGCTGCAAGGATCCACTGGATCTCAGCTGCACCTGATGGATCTCAGCTCACCTCTGCATCAGCTAGTAAATTGTGTCATTCTCCTGCTGGTCTTCAAAATACAGCTATTCACCTATTCAGCTGTGAGTAGAGACAGGAAAGCCGAAGTACAATAAACTCTATTCTGATTCTGACTCATTTTCTTGCTGAATGATCTTGATTAAGTCTTGATTCCCTCACCTCTGCCAACCAGGAGATGGCAAAGGAAAGGGGGCACAAGAGGTTTCCCAATACAGAGGCTCTACAGGACAATTAGGCAAGTAGACTGACTTCTGGTCAAAACCAGGAAAATCAAATAAATTACTGACATAATGTGTATATATATATATATATATATATAAAACATCTAATCAAACTGGCATCTCAGAAAACAGCAGCTGCTCAATTCAGTCAAACACAACTCTTCAGAGGCTCTGAGAACAAGGGAGCACAGATTTCTGAAGCAGTGTGTGGTCATGCAGTCATTGCACTGAGACAAAAGGGGAAGAATTTATTTCCCATGTGGCAACAGGGATGCTGTGGAATTGCTCTTAGGTATGATGATATAAGTTTCACCTAACTAATATGCTTTCAGGATAGGAATCACAGAACCAATAATTTCTTTGGTGTATATTTTGAGTTAAAATAATTATAGCGATCTAAAACTTACAGAGAAAACTGTCAGAATAAAAGCTACACTACATATCATGCTTCAGGAGGATGATCTACTCTCAAAAGTTAGAATAATTTCCTTTCTTTAAATAAAAACCTGAAAATTATTCTTGTTCACTATACCAAGGAACTGTACCTGTCTTCTTTTCCCAAGGATGAAAGATTCTTTAACAGAATTCCCAGGGAAATTAATCCAATAAAGGAACCTTTCTCTACAGAAAACTCAAACACACCATGCAAAAGCAAACACCTTCTAACCCATCTCAGCTGTAGAGAAAGGCAGTCTTTAAAGTAACCAAGGACTAAACTATTCAAAGCCTGGGTACCAGCACAGGTTTGAACACAGGTCTCACACTCATTCACACAATCTAATACACATGCAACAGAGGCTAGATCCTTATGCTCCATGAATTTTCATGATCTAAATATTATTCATTTAAATCCCAAAAGAAATTTTGAGGCTGGAGTGAAGTACTTATGCTCCCTGAACGCATCAAGAATTGGAAATCCTGCCTGATGGGCAGAAACTGCCCAGAGCCAACCAGTATAAAACACATTAACCAGTACAAAAGAGCACAGCTGCACTTCAAGCAGATACATCTGGTACCTTCTTAGAGTTTAAACCACCAAAGCCTCCTCCTTCCTGGGATCTCTAAACCACAGACATGCCCTGTGCCTTTTAAGGAGCTGAGCCAGAGATGCTATTTTCTTTTTTGAAAATTGGCTAAGTGAGGAGTTTAACTGTGATGCAACAGTGAAATGGCTTTTGAAGTTGGGAAATTAAGGCTTAGTGCCTGCTCTAGGCAGACAAGCCTCACACAATTCCCAGGACTGTGCCCAAGCTCTAGGTGAGATTTTAGTCTCAGTGCCCACCTGGATACAGGGAATTATGAAACGGCTCTCCCACACACTACCTTCAAGTTCTGACACTGTTAGTGAAGAGTAAGAAGAATAAACTCGTCTTGAATCATGACTTTCTGTGACACTAGCATAAAGGCAGCAAATCTTACCTTCATATGCAACACAACACAGATTTCACCTCAATTTGCAATCTGCAGACCATTTTCACATGTAGCATAAAGCTATGCAGGAATTATGAGAATTATAGAGAGATTATACCATGATGGGGTAGTAAAATTGCTTCTAAAATATGCAATTTTCAGGCATCCAGTGCTGCAAAAACATTTTAACTAATATGGAAAGATGTTTTTGCAGTAAGCTAAACTGGCTCATCTACCTCCTATTAATAACTACACCATGAATACTCCACAGAAAAAGTGTTTCACAGACTGCAAGAGATGAACTTCTGCCTAATCTTTTATGACCTTTATAAAACTTTATTAACTTATGAAGCCATGTAGCCTTTACAGGCTCTAAAGTTTTGCTTGGGAACATTTTAAATACATAAATATATGCAGCTGTCCCAAGTAGTGCCACTATGGGGACTTAAGACACTGTTAAGATTTTCCAGTCCTGTACCATTTAAAATCAGTAATAAAACTCTAGTCCAAGATAAAGTCTCAGATAGGAGCCACCCAGCCAGGAGCAAAGTACTCCTTATTAAAGAAAATTACTGACATTTTAGAAACACTGCAACTCTTCCTACTTACTTGCACTTGTGTTACCATGAAAGTCTCTAAAAA